TCAGATCGGCATAGCATCAGCCATTGCGCTCACTTGGGGAGTGAATCATCGGACAGAAGATCTTCCTCTCTGTATATCCGCCTTTCCAATAAAAAAATAATAATAAAAATAAATCTTAAAAAAAAAAAGAAGGGGTGGGTTTAAGTTGATTTGCGAGGCAGAAAGAAGTGTGGGAAAGCTGTCTGTTGAGGATTTATGGCTGCAGGAAATTGGAGATATATATATATATGTTTAAGAGAGAGAGTTCCTACTCGGTCTCCTATTTCCTTGTTCAAAATTAAGGTATTGATTTAAGGTTTTTGTTTTATACCCCGCCAGCACACAGTATAATTTTTTTTTTTTAAATTGGATGGCAGCCATAGCTGGTAAATTGTTCCCTTTGAATTCTATCTCATGGTCCTTTGTAGCTATGGTGACGCTCTCCTGAAGGGGGAGAAAAAAAGTGCAGCTGCCTGCTGCCGACTTATTTTTAAAAACTTCTATTTGGAAAGAACTTTGAACTTCCAGAAAAGTGGCAAGAACAACAGTGTGACAGGCCCGGCGGCGTGGCCTAGCGGCTAAAGTCCTTGCCTTGAACGCCCCGGGATCCCATATGGGCACTGGTTCTAATCCCGGTGGTTCCACTTCCCATCCAGCTCCCTGCTTGTGGCCTGGGAAAGCAGTCGAGGACGGCCCAAAGCCTTGAGACCCTGCACTTGTGTGGGAGACCTGGAAGAAGCTCCTGGCTCCTGGCTTCGGATCGGCATAGCGTCAGCTGTTGCGCTCACTTGGGGAATGAATCATCGGATGGAAGATCTTCCTTTCGAATGTTGCATTTATTTTTTGTTTTATCAGTTCATTTCTCTATGTGTGTGTGTGTGTGTGTGGATGTCATTATTGGCGATGGTTACCATGTAGGCTGACTTTTAAGAAAGATTCCTGCGAGGCTAGGAAACAAAAATTCACAGCAAGATACTTGAGTGCCAAAGTTTTTGCTTTTTTTTTTTATTCTGCGAATCCCTGCATAATTATTATTATTTTTTCTTTCATCATATGTATTTTCTACAAGCTTTTCGGTGGTACTCATGTACTTCCAGGCAAGTTTAGTGCTGTGGTGTGGACAAGCGTTGCCTGCACTGCCAGCATCCCATAGAAGCTACTGGTTCAAGTTCTGGATGCTCCCCGTCCAGCTCCCTGCCTATGCACTTGGGGAAAACAGGAGAGGATGGTCCTAGTCCCTGTAACCCCACTTCCCCCTCGCCCCCCAACGCGCGCGCGCGCACACACACACACACACACACACACGGGAGACCCGAGGAAACTCCAGGCTCCTGGCTTCAGACTGGTCCACCCATTGTGGTCATTTGGGGAGTGAACCAACAGATGGAGATCTCTCTCTCTCTCTCTCTCTCTGCCTTTCACATAAATCAACACATACTAAAAAGACCAGTTAGACAAACCACAGTGGATTCCTAGTTCCCAATGCCTTCTTTGAGCTAGATGGCAGGATTCTAGAATTGTCTATGACCCCCTGTGTTCACAAATGTGGCTATGCTTTCTTCCCCTTTGGAGCATCCGTGATAATATTCAACACACACACACACACACACACACACACACACACACACACACACACACACGTACTTTTTTTTTCCCACCATGCTATGTTTAAGCTCTTTTCTGGGTCAATTCAGACATATTGTTCGAGTTTTTATGTCATGAAAACAACACCCTTGAAACATGTCAACATTTGCTGTCCCTCCAACATTCTCCTGTCCCTCCCACCCCACTCTGCGAAAGTGGAGAGAACCCTTGTGTGTTTGCAGCCACAGAAAAACATGCTTTGTGGAGCTGAACATTTTCACGTGGGTCTCTCTTTTCGCGATGCTCTGTGGAAGGAGGAGGGTGGGAGCTACCTGAGGCGGTTTTATGAAGCTCTCAAAAACAGTTATTCAAGCTTGGAGGTGGGGGGGGGGTGACCGAGAAAGACCTGGCCATGAGGGATGACCTGCTGTCCCCTGGTCCAGTGCCCAGATGTCCAGGAGGTGTTGGGAACCCAAGTACGGCTAGCTGCCTTCCGAGCTCTGCGTGGGCAGGAGGCTGGAGTCGCACGGGTCTCCTTCCTGAGCGACCCCAGCTCCCTCCAATGTGGGACACTATGGACTCCCCTCCACCCACCCCAAGTCTCAGTACCTACAGGGTCACCCATATATAATATATATATATAATGTAATATATATATATATATATTTAAGATTTATTTTACAGGAAAGGCAGATTTACAGAGAGAAGGAGGGACAGAAAGAGAAAGATCTTCCATCTGCTGGTTCACTCACCAGGTGGTTGCAACGGGCAGAGCTGAACTGATGCAAAACCAGGAGCCAGGAGCCTCTTCTGGGTTTTCCACGTGGCTGCAGGGGTCCCAAGGCTTTGGGCTGTCCTCTGCTGCTTTCCCAGGTCACAAGCAGGGAGCTGGATGGGAAGTGGAGCAGCCGGGATATGAACCAGTGTCCATATGGGATCCTGGTGCACTCAAGGTCAGGATTAGCCAGTTGAACCATCATGCCAGCCCTCACCCATATTCTTGTTCTCATCTTTACATCTGCCGGTGGCGCTCCAAAGTTCCCGACGAGAGAATCCCACGGAAAACCCACAAAGGAGACGGCACCGTCCTCATGTGTCAACACAGTTCATGTGAGCGGAGTCAAAGAAGGGACACAGAGGAGCAGATGACACGGCAGTGGGTGGCGGATGTGTGTGGCGGGAGCGTGAAGATCTCCCCGCGCTGGCCGGAAGGATGCTGACAGTGCAGTCACAAGGACACGTGCAGAAAGTCCCGTGGAAAATAGCAATGATGATCTTATTTCGGATGTAGAGTGAAAATCATCCATCATCCACTCCGAGGGTCTTCCAGAATGACATGCCTTTTACATGAATTGTTTTTAAATTGCAGGTTGAGGGTCCGGCGAGGTGGCGCAAGTGGTTAAGGTCCTCGCCTTGCACGCCCGGGATCCCATATGGGCGCCGGTTCTAATCCTGGCAGCCCTGCTTCCCATCCAGCTCCCTGCCTGTGGCCTGGGAAAGCAGTGGAGGATGGCCCAAAGCTTTGGGACCCTGCACCCACACAGGAGACCCGGAAGAAGCTCCTGGCTTCAGATCAGCATAGTATCGGCCAGTTGTGCTCACTTGGGGAGTGAATCATCGGATGGAAGATCTTCCTCTCTGTCTCTCCTCTCTGTATATCCGCCTTTCCAATAAAAATTAAAAAAAAGAAATCTTAAAAAAAAAATAAATTGCAGGTTGATGTATTTGAAGGGTAGAAATGGATTTTCCATCTGCCGGTTCGCTCCTCAGATGCCTGGCAATGGCCTTAGATCCTGGAATTCCATTCCGGTCTCCCATGTGGGTACAGGGGCCCAGGGACTTGGGCCATCCTTTGCTGCTTTCCCACCTTCATCAACAGGGAGCTGGGTGGGAAGTGGAGCAGCCGGGACTCCAACTGACTTCACTTCTGAAAACGTGTGGACAGGTGGCAGAAAAAAAAAAAACAATTTTATTCCGATGTGGATCATGCTGGGGTCCATGCACAGTTTATTTATTTTTTTTCTCCACTCCACACTTGGTATTTTAAAGTATGTCCGGACGTTCCTGATTTTCAAAATATCTTTGTATGAAAATAAAACTCCTCCTTCTATTTTTTTTTTCCCCAGGAGCTTCCCAAAGTCCTCTGGTGGCTGGAAACACTTGTCTTTTCATTTGATACATGCTTTCCCTCCTCCCCTCCTCACATCTTAATTTTTACATAGCCCCAAATCTGTGAACGCCACGTGGGTCTCTCAACTGCAATAGGTGCAGGGGCTCAAGCGGTTGGCGCAGCCGCCGGAGCAGCCGGGACTCGAACCCCTGCTGTTCTGCAAAACAAACAGGAGTGGAGTTCCGTCTAATCCTGGCCTAAGGCTTCCAACTGGCAGCCCTTGCCTGCCTCTTCTCCGCCCCCACCTCCCGCCCCCTTCAGCCTGGCTTTTTCCTATGCCAGGTCCAGAGAGCCTTGGCCGGCCCACACCTTGCCAATGCAGGTGTGGCTCTTCGGCCCCCCACACGGCTCATCTTGGAATCCTTAAATGGTTTTCCTGTTTATTTCTTCTTTATCATGGCTTGGCGAATTCACTTCTTTATCCGCTGGGATCTATCAGTTGGTCGGCAAATATTTGTTAAATGGGAGAACCCGCAAGCAATGGGGGGGGGGGGGGAGTTTACAACGCGAGCAAAAATAAACAGGACCTTCCGGAAACCCGGCTGCCTTTGGGAAACGGTGCGTGTCCACCTGCTTGCTGAGGGTCTCCGCGTCTGCTCTCCAGGGGCCCGGGGACGGAGAGAGCGGGAGTCGCTGGTGTGGGTGGGTCATGCCCCAGGAGGAGTGTGTGTGTGTGTGTGTGTGTGTGTGTGTGTGTGTGTGTGTGTGCACGTGCACGCTCGCTTGTATGCGCAGCCCCAGCACTCAGGCGCCAGTGCTTAAGGGAAAGCCAAGATACGGTGCAACGTGGTGGAGACATTCCAACGTATCCGCCGTCCAACCCTCGGTTGTGAACAAAACGCACGGGTTTGGTCTGGTTGCTTGGGGACCCTTGGCGAGGGGGGGGGGGCGTCCCCAGGCTTCCCAGGATGTTGTTTAGGGGCACTTGCCTTCGTCCCTCCGCGCTCCTCCCCGGGTGGGGACCTGGCGCGCACCCTCGGTGGCCCCAGGAGCGCCAGCGCCAGCAAGCGTCTAGCGCGCACCGGGGGCCCCGGAACGGGGTGGCAGGCGAGGCGGGACCAGGGGCATGGGGCGGGGCCGGGTGGTACCTCCCTCTGCCCGCCCTCGTTCGCTTCCCTCCCCGGGGCCTCTCCCGGGCGCCGAGTCCCTTCCGCGGCCAGATCCGCGCCGCCTTTTCCCGCGGCCTGCGCTGGGGCCCAGCTGACGGGCCGCGTTGTTTATCGGGCCAGAGAAGCCCTCGCTGCTCCCGCCACCCTCCCGCCCTCCCGCCCGCCCCAGCGCCCCTCTGTCCCCTGGGCCGCCGGGGGCGCAGCTCGGAGCGCACGAAGCCCAGCGCCCGGGGAGGCCCGGGGTGCACCGCAACACAGCGCAGAGCCCCGGAGAAGTGGGGGTGCCCCCCCGAGATCGCGGGCCGCAGTGACCAGGAGGCCGGCGCCGCCGCCTCCTCCACCACCTCCTCCTCCTCCTCTGGGCCTCACGGCCGTTGTCTGGGGAGTCCGTAGAGGCCGCGCGGTCTCCAGGGCCCTTCCCCGCGTGGGGAGCTTGCAGGGGCAGAGAAGGACGCGGGGCCGCCCCACCCCAGCCCCTCGCGAGTGGTCGCTCCGGAGCATGACCCCTAAGGGCCGCTGCCGAGCGCTCTGATCTTTGGGGACCCCGCGCTCCCGCAGCCATGGGCGCTGGGGGTCGGCGGGGGGCGGCGGCCACGCCGCTGCTGGCTGCTGTGGCCGCTCTGCTGCTGGGCGCCGCGGGCCACCTGTACCCTGGAGAGGGTAAGTGTGTGTGTGTGTGTGTGTAGGGAGTGGTGGGTTGAGAAGGGGGGGGGGCATGCGCGCAATCACGAGTGGGGGTGGCAGGGTGCGCCGCCGTGGGCGCGGGACCCTTGCTTCCTAAAGCCGCTTGGCCAAAATGGAGCCCCTGGGGGATAAGGAGTGTGAATTCTCTCTTCACTCGCAAAGGGACAAGTGCGATGGTCGGGACAGTCGCTCCGGCCCCCGTGGCTTGGCTGGGGTGGTTGGTTGTGCTAGTGGTGGTGGTGGTGGTGGTGGCGGTGGGAGGTTGCTGACTTTGGCCTTGGGTCAACCCGGGCGGGCGCAGGCGCCTCTCCTGAGAGCGCGCCCCCCTCGGAGCCCTGCTCCCTCCCCAGGCCGCCACCCGCGTCGTCCTCCGTCCTCCTCCTCCTCGGGGCGGTAGGGTCACTGGGTCGGAGCTGCCCTGGGCAGCCAAGCGCCTGCCTGCCCGCCCGCCCAGCGCGTGCATTTTGGAGTCTGCCAACGCCCCGGGCGAGGGTGGGAGGGGTAGGGAATGGCGGGGACCCTCCCACTCCAGCCCCTGCTTACGACCTGGACTTCAGCAAACGGAGGCAATAAATGAGAACAGCCTGTTACAATTAGTGTCACCGTTAGGCAGCTGAGAGGACCTGAGGCGTCCCACGGGTTGAACGCCACCCCCCCCCCCCGTGTGCCCATTTCCCGGAGAAGAAAAGTGAGGTCCCACCCCCCTCCCCAAGCAGGACCCGAACTCAACAGGCAGAGCCAGGACTTGAACTTCCCTCGGTGTGTTCAGCTCTGCTCTTCGTGCCACTAGCCTGTTGTTCGCTTGGTCGGTGTGTCGCCGGTGGTGCTGGGGTTGTTGTGTTGCTCTGGGAAAGAGATTGAGTGACACGCGGTGGCAGCAGAGGGGGGGTGGACCCCAGGTCCTGCACCTCTGTTGGCACTGTTTGCTGGTGAGAGACATAGCCTGATTCCGGCAGGAAGAGGACATTGGAGGGGTTTGTGTTGGCTACCGCGTCCCAGCCCTGGCCTTGAACGTGTCCCGCTGTGTGTGGCTCTGTGTGTGTGTGTGTGTGTGTGTCCGCTTCGATATTTCTCTCTACAAACACATCAGGGTGAGGAGGGGGGGTTGGAACTCCCCAACCAGCAGAAGACCACTTTGTGGGTTTGGTTGGTGGTGGGTGGTGTGGGTCTGGTCTACACGGGTGGGACGGTCCGTACGGGGCAGAAGCCACTTGGAGCACGTGTTGGGCCTGTGCTGGGTCTTGGGGTGGGTGTGCGTGCGTGTGTGTGTGTGTGTGTGAGGTTCTGTGTATTTCTGTTCCCTTGTTCAGTGCCTGAGTCCTTCCTGGGGTCATTTAAAGCTTTGGCCGCTGTGTGTGTGTGTGTGTGTGTGTACACGCGTGCGTTAGCCTCCTCCGGTGCCTGTGTCCAGATGCCAGGGTCCCCTTGTTCTCAGATGACACCTTGTTAAGTGTTGGAGTGGCTTCTGTGGGGCTGGCCACGTGGTGCGTTCTCTGACTGCCCTGTCACCCTACCGTAGGAGGAGGCGAGGGTGGCGGGGCCGGGGGGTGGGGGGCGGGCATTTTTCATCTTGCAGCCGAGGGTGGTGGGATCCTTGTGGGACTTCTGGCCTGGCTCTGTGGGCTGTGAGGGGATGGGAGGCTTGGGGAGTTGTAGAACCCTCATCACTTCCCTCCCCTGCTGGTTCCTGGAGAACCTCTCCCCCCCTTGGAGACCCTCCCCGCTCCAGCAGACCCCCCCCCCCCCCCGAGGTCACTGCCACTTCATTACAAATTTCTGCCCTTGCCCAGGCTCTGGTAACATCGAGGTTTTGGTATGTAGGGGGGTTCTTGCTATGACAACCATAGACAGGTCTCCAGGGGACGCTCGCTCTCCTCTCTGCCTCCCTCCCCCTTCCCTATCTCATCCCAAGCCCCACCTGGACCCCCACAGCCTTCTGCCTGCTGCCTCTCTCCCTCCCCTGTGTCACCTTTCACCCCTTGCTCCGCCCACCCACCCACCCATGGCCCTGGCGTTGTCTGGCTGGTGTCTCTAACCGCCTGGGGCTCTCTCAAAACTAACTCTCTCCTCCCTGCCATCTGGCCTCGGTTCACCCTTCTGGGTCCAACGCCGCCCGCGCCCCGCCATCTCAGAAGGACAGATCAACTTCTGTCCTAGTCCATTCTGTCCCTTGGCCCCAGCTAGCATGGGTGGTGGTGGAGTAGTGGTGGTGGTTTATACAGACCCCATCTCTTGCACCTGCTGGTAGCCTACTGTGTAATTTTTTTTCCCCTAGAGCCCAAACACCCGTCATTCCACACGGCACTCCCCTCCCCACCAATGCCTCACTGCCCAGGCCCCGGGGGCACAGCCACTGGCTGTTTGTGCAAATAAAGTTTTATTGGTAAGGGGCCACACCCACGGGCTGGCTGACTCATGCAACGTCCCGGCTGTTGTTGTGTCCACTGCTGCCCCAAAGGCCGGCTGTTGGGAGCGTCTCTGACTCTGTAGAGGGTTTGTTGCCCCTGACTTGGCTTGCTGTCACCTGGGTGGGTCTGGCTGGTTCAGATGCCTAGTGGTGTATTTTTTTTTCTTTTCCTTTATTTTATTGGAAAAACAGATGGACAGAGAGAAGGAGAGACAGGGAGAAAGATCTTCCATCCTCTGGGTCACTCCCCAAGTGGCCCACAATGGCCGGAGCTGAGCTCATCAGAAGCCAGGAGCCAGGAGCTTCTTCTGGGTCTCTCGCGTGCGTATAGAGAATCAAGGCTTTGAGCCATCTTCTACTGCTTTCCCAGGCCACAGGCAGGGGGCTGGATGGGAAGTGGAGCAGCCGGGACTCGAACCGGCGTCCCTATGGGGATGCTGGCACTTGCAAGAGGAGGATTCTATTTTACTGTACGCTCCTCCCCCCAACCTCCGGTGTTAATTTCTATCAGGAATCACTTCCTGGGGTCGGGATTTATGTTCTGTAAGGAACGCGTTGTTAGGGTCTTTTAATTAAAAGTCAAAGGAGGGCTCCGGCACAGTGGCGAGGTTACTGCATAGAGTGTCCCCGTTCCAGTGTCCGTCCTAGTGCCTTCCTCCCTGCCCCCTCACTCAGTCCCATACCTGGGGTCCGGCTCGTCTGCTGCCAGTCCAGCTTCCTGCTGAGGCACCTGGCCGGTGGTGAGCAGGTGGTTCAAGTCACCAGGCCCACGTGGGGGACCTGGAGGAGGCTCCTGGCTTCTGCCTGTCTCCCCTCGGGTTGTGGCAATGGTTTGGGAAGATCTCTGTCTCTCCCTCTCTCTAAAAAACGAAGTAAACAACAGAAATCTTTTTTTTTTAAAAAAAAAAGTTTGTGGAAAGATCACAATCAAAGATACATTTATTTTGGTACGAAAGATCTTAAAAATCCATGCCTCGTTTTTTTGTCATGTTGTCTCTTTTCTGCCAGCTTTTTGAAAACCCGCCCAACTGCCTTCCATACAGTTTCTCCAGACTTTTAATTTTTTTTAAAGAACTTATAATTGGATCAATATTCTCAAATCTGAGGATTTGTCAATCCTACTTGTTTCTTGGATTATGAAGAAAACATTTATTTATTTGAAAGAGAGAGAGAGAGAGAGAGAGAGAGAGAGAGAAATTGACTTGCTGTTCACTCCCTACATGACTGTAGCAACTAGGGCTGGGCTGGGCTGAAGCCAGGAGCCAGGAGCTCCTGCCCAGTTTCCCATGTGGGTACAGGGGTCCAAGAACTCAGGCCATGCCCTGTTGCTTTCCCAGGCACATTCGTAGGGAACTGGATGAAAAGCGGAGCAGCCGGGACTTGAACCGGCACCCAGGTTGCTTGCGGGTGTGGCATAGCTTGCTTAACGCACTGCACCACCATGCAACCCTTAGGTGCTTGCTTCGCATGCTGCGACAGGTGTACGCCTGAGTCCGTCATTGTCTCTTCAGATGCCTTCCTTGGGACACCGAAGCCCTCCCTGGGATGGTATATGTGTGTGTTCGTTCTCCCTTGAAAAGCTCCATCAAGTGGCACGGAATGGCTGGCCTGGGGTGGCACTACCGCCGCCACTGCCATTGGTGTGCCAAGAGGGGGAAGGCTGCCGTGGCTTGTGGGATTTGAGAACCGCATTTGGTGATCTGCGAGGCCTGATGGATTGTTCTGTGCAGTCGCCTGTAGCCTGGCTCTTGTGTTCCAAGAGGGTTAGATCGTGGGCTGGGGAAGGGTTCGTGCTGTGTTGGAAATGTGGCTTCAAGTTCTTTAAACACAAAGTACCGTATCGTGTTTATGCCAAAGCCCCTGCTTTTTGTTCGGAAGCAGTGGGATGCTAGAGCCTTTTCCAGAACTTTATTATTATTTTTTATCTATTTTTGAAAGAGAGAGAGAGAGGGGGGTCAGCGTGCTTGAGCTGATTCTGCCTGCAAGCATTTGGGATCCCATATGGGCACTGGTTCTTGTCCTGGCAGCTCCACTTCCCATCCAGCTCCCTGCTTGTGGCCTGGGAAAGCAGTGGAGGACGGCCCAAAGCCTTGGGACTGTACACCTGCGTGGGAGACCTGGAAGAGGCTGCTGGCTCCTGGCTTCAGATTGGCTCCGCTCTGGCTATTGTGCCCATTTGGGGAGTGGAACCAGCAGATGGAAGATCTTTCTCTCTGTCTCTGCTTTCTGTAAATCTGATCTGCCTTTCCGATAAAAATAAATTTTTCAAAGAATGAGGGAGAGAGCGAGCAAGTGAATGAATCGGCCACATTTTGACTCACCCCACTGGTGCCCGCAAGAGTTGGAGTGAGCCTGAAGTTGGGAACTCATTCCAGGTCTCTCGCCTGAAGGATAGAGACCCAGTGACCTGAGCCATTAGGGTCACTCCCTGAAGGGGGCTGGGGCCAGAGATGGGTCCCTCTATGTGAGATGCAAGTGTCTTAAGCAGGAAGTTTCAAGCACCTGCTCCGAGACACAATTCATTCCGCTCCAACGTGGCGACTCACGGTGCAATACTCCACTGCGTGCG